CTACACATACATGTATATATTTAAGAAAAATATGTTGTTTATATATTAAATATATTTATCTGTAATATAAATATATACATGAAAATATTTTCAAAATATATACTGTATGTGTGTGTATTTATATATATATATATATATATACATAATAAATATACACAGTACACACAAAAACAAAAACTTTTATTTTGGATGCGATTAATCGCGATTAATCGTGTGACAGCACTACTTTTTTCACTTGTCTTGCAATAATCTGATTCATGAACGATTCTTTTCAATGAACCTGTTGAATGGGCTTGCAAATCTCACAGGATGATTCTTTTGTGAATTGGACTCATCCAGTCTCAACTGTTCCTGAGTCAAAAACCCACTGATTCAATGATTGGGTTAGAGCAAAGTCTCCAGGGTTACTTCCAGGTTCAGTATTATTTGGTCTTCAGGGTTACTTGATTATTACAGGCAGGTGTGCTGGAGCAGAATTGGAACTGAAGTTTGCAGGATGGTAGCTCTCCATGAGCATGGTTGGAGATCGCTGGTATACTTCATTCACCACTGATCACAACACTTTGGCATTGTGGCAGAATTTTGCATGGGTGGGTCGTGGATGCCATCTTTTTTCAGAAAAACCAAAATCTAGTTCTAAATGTATGTAAGAAAAATCTTGTCCTTTTTTTTTAAAGCGTTGTAACTTTGTGACTGTATTCCTGTTATCAAGTTATTGAATATGAAGAATATTTGTTTAAATCTCAGTTATGAAGTGGGACGATGCTGTAGTTGTCTAGCAAATATATTTCCTTTAAAAAAAAAATCCAGTTTTTCTTGTGAAATCAACTATGGTAAAATGTCCTACTTCTGTTGAACCTCTTTGCACAAAACTTTGCATATATGCTTTGCATGTTTTTGTCTTTGTCTTCTCAGCGTAGCTTTGTGAATGGGAAAAAAAAAACATTTGACACGTTTGATGTGCAATCTTCAGTGTTTTCTAACTCTAACAATGACAATATTGATGCTGTTCTCTATTTTGATTATTCTGAAAAACGGCAATGGCCAATCATTCAACTAACAGTGCTTGTGAGTCATTGCATGGTCTTGTGATGTATTTTAGACTGTCATTTAAACACTAATCTATTTAGATTTTCATTAACCCCAGTATGGAAATAAAGCATTGACCTTGAAGTTGTGTGCTTTTTATTCACAGAATTTCACCTGCACTCCTCCGACAAGCTTCCTACGGGACAATCAAGATCGGTACATACAACACACTGAAGAAACTGTTTGTTAGTCATCCAGAAGGTGGGTTTATGGGACGAATCCCTTGATACTGTTCATGTTGTACAAGATCTTTTCCATGCAACATTGCATTATGAGAATAGAACATCATGGTTGCCACTTGTTGATATCTTCAGTGATGTCACTAACTCTAACTCTCATCAAAGTCATGGTGTTGAAATCATTTTTTGACTCACTCAACCAGTTTTGTAGGGGTAGCAGTCCAGAAATTTGAACAGTTTGTTTGGATTTTGCAAACAATGGCATCCAGACGTCTCTGACGTGACTTTTCGATAAATTGTCTAAACTGTAAAAAAAAAACTGTATGTATATTTTCTTAATTGATAACCTACTTTATGACTGTATACGGAAGCTCTATGAGATAAGGAGTGAATTGTCTCCAGAGAATTATATACGCCTTAATGTGTTGAATGATACAGACAAGTCACTAACATGTCAGACAGCACGATGTTAACATGTTGCACACATCCGGTCACAATTGCTTTATTCCAATATCTAATGAGTTGCCCAAAGAGGCAAAAAGTATGTCAAAAGAGAACACATTTTTTATTAGCATGCATAGATTAGATTAGAGTAGCAATACTGTTAAAGTGCCCCTATTATGGATTTTTTAACATTACCTTTCATGCAGTGTGTAACACAGCTCTAAGTGAATGAAAACATCCTGCCAAGTTTTAAATCTGAAAGTGCACCGTGTATAAAGTTATTGTCTCTCAAAAGAAAGAGTCGACTCTGAATCATTGAAACGAGTCGTTATTAAAACGAATCCCAAGCCGTTTCATGTTGACGTCAACATGAAACATTAGCATATTGCCCGCCCACTTGTTGGTCTTTTCGCGTTGGTCTGAATGAAAATGCAAATTCATTCTTTGCCACTAGGTGCAGCTTTTGAAGTGGTAAAAATAGCGGTTTCCCCGGTAACGCTGTACACACAAAGCAGCACTGCGCTCACAAACGCTGCTTTATCAGGCATTACAGGCATGATGAAATGAAAATGAGACCAATTGGACCAATCACCGCAGATTAGCGTCACGCAAAGGAGGGGTTTGGAAAAATGAATCGTTAAACGAATCGTTTGGGAGTCGTTGAGCAAATAAGGTAAAAATAAATGCATATTATAAGACAATGAAAGTGTTTTTTGACCTTGCATGCATGTCAACCTGTTGTTGGGGACTCCCAAAACCAAAATATGAGCCTTCATAACCTATAATAGGGGCACTTTAACAGACTCTACCGAAATCAATGTTGAGCATTAGTCCAGCATTCATTTAGTTGCCATGAGTAGTGTTTGTGTGGATATAATTAAGTAATTGTTAAGAGTTGCCTATGAACGCATTTCAGATCAGCCACGTGTAAGAATGCATTTTAATTAGCTACCTAACTGTGCCGTAACTGTCAAGAGAACAATAAATGCTGTCTCTTATGTGCTAATCTGAGTTTGTCCTAACCAGCTGTGATCACACTGAGTGTCACAATGTTGGTTTCTATTTCTGTGCCATTGTGATGAGTAGTCCTGCCCACAGTGACATTTTTTGGATCAAGGTTCCACCTCCACATAAATTTCTTTTATGGGCATTTAATTTTTTTTCGGTTTCTCACTTTACTGCACAAATAACTTGCCAAGTTGAATAGTGATTAGGGCTACAAATGCATGTAATAATGTAATGATTTTCATTAGGTTTCTCATATTATTCTGGATTCTTAACAATTCCCTCAATTGAGAAACATTTTAGATACTTTTCAGATTTTCTGATGCAGATTTTTTACAAATCGAAAATGCATACATTTTTGTAGGTTCTACAGACAGACAGACTTTATATTTAATAATCAATAGAATCTGACATGGTGAAAGCAATGACTTTTAATGACTGATTTATATGCTTTTTTTTTAAACAAGTGTTTTGATGCTAAAATGAACTGCCACGTACGAGCCATTTGTTTAGAAATCCGATTACATTGTTGAGCTGTATGGTTTTTGATTTATTTAAATGTTCATTCAAAAATGTTTCAATCCATAACACTCTTGTTCATCTTTGAAACACAAATGAAGATATTCGTAATGAAACCTTAGAGATCTCTGCCCCTCGACTGAAAATCCATTCAGCTTCAAAACTTTCATAAAGAGATTGTAAAAGTAACGCATCATATTTAATATGCAAATTTCTAAAGCCTCTAAATGAACATGATCAAGACTTTGCTGAAAAACCTGCTGTATACATATTTACTACATGCCTTCTGTTGTCTTATTGATCATTTATTTTTTTTAGCTGAAAATCATTTGAGTGCAATTCTGTAAACATCACTCAGGTACACGTCTTTTTGCTGTGAAATCTTTACTGATTTCAATAATTTAAATGTAAAAATAACTTATTGTGTTAGTGATATTTCAAGATGAACATTTACTCAACTGAAGCAATTAAGTTTTATTGATTCTTCTAAAAAATGATGCATGTGTAGTCAAACACATCAGGCTTTTGAGAAATAATTATTTGTACTTCTCACAATCAACATTGTATTGCATTATATGTTTTGCCCCCAAAATATAATCACCAGAACTTAACGATCATAAAGCTAAGCATTTAAATACCTGTGACTGTTGCTTTAGCTGGCGGCTTTTGACTAAGTGAATGGTGTAATACACAGTGGGATTTACATAACAGGTTTTTAAGGAACAGCATTTTTAGACTTAAATGTAGCATTTAGCTCAATTTTCCACCATTACGCCACAAACCCCCAGCTCTACCAATACTGAACTACAAAACAAGGTGTAACTACCATCACTAATGTGCGGTCCAAACAAAAGGTGCTGAAGCGGCAGACAGACACATACATCTCTAGCATTACCTTATCTGGTGCTGGCGCCAGCGGATTTCCATCTGACATGGTACAAAATCTTCTCTTCTCTGCAAACAGTAGAATGGCCACAGCTAGGCCAACAGTAGCTTTTTATTGTATTGAATGAACAGGCTGTATTTAGGCTCTTTTGGCCAATTTCTGTTGCTTTCACTCTGCATGCTTTTCCAAGGATGTTGCCACTTTGTCAAATGCTTATTTTGATATAGGCGTAGCTTTGCCTGTTAGTGTGGGGGTACTAATGCCTGTTCTGCTGCCAAAATGAATGGCTGTTCTGACTGTTGGCCACATTAATTTAAGGAATTAGTTTAACTATCGATCGAAATTTGATCAGCATTTTGTCATCACACTGAACTCTAATCTCATTCATTCATCTCTCTTTTGTGTGCCTTCTTGCTCAGTAAAGGCCGGGTGCCACATCTTAAAATAGTGGAACAAGACCTTACTTGAAGAGCTTTTACAAAAATAGGGCTTTTTGGGTGATTTTTGAATTAGGAATTTGATTATTGCTTGTCTATCTTTTTCCTGCTTTGCTCTCTTTGTAATATTACTGATTTATTATTGAATTGTTAAACTGTTTTTGTTCTGTGGCTTTTATTGAAGGACATTCTGAATCTAATGGCTGCTCTTATCTCTTTTTTTTCCAGATGAGACTATGGTGATTAATGTGTTTTGTGGTGTGGTGTCTGGAGTTTTGTCGTCCTCTTTGGCAAATCCAACTGATGTGCTTAAGGTAAGTAAAATCAAATCAACATCTCCTTTAAAAACAATCCATACAAATTAGGGCTGTGCAATATATCGAAATGATCGAAATATCGCAGATGTACATATCGCAATATGCATATCGCTACAGCTTGCAATATTTGGGGCCATGAACAAAAGACAAAGAGAAAATCACTCACTGCTCTTACCTAAATAACTTTTGTAGCTTAAATAAGAATCAGTGCATATTGAATTCAAAGAGTAAATACTAAGCAGTATTTTATTTTTCCTTTTTATTATTCAGTTCCTAAACTCATGTTAAAATGACATTTTTATGTAATGCTTGAGTAAAACGCATACCGTTCACTTTCAAAAGTTGTTGTAGGGGTGCTTTCTTATTAGAATCAGAATCAGAATGAGCATTATTCACCACTTAAGTGTGCGCAAACACAAGGAATTTGTTGTGGTTTTACAGGAGCTCTTGATGCATACATACAAATAACCATATATATATATATATATACATATATGTGTGTGTGTGTGTGTGTGTGTGTGTGTATATATATATATATATATATATATGACACAAGATAGTTATAGAAGTTCACAGAACTGACTCAGCAACAGCTGAGTAAAACTGTTTCATCTGAGCATGTGGCACTTTAAGCATTATCGTATCGCATATCGAATATCGCATTATTTAATGAGTTATCGCATATCGCATTTTTCTTCAATATCGCACAGCCCTAATACAAATGTTGGCATAAAAAATCCCAAAGGTTTTAATATAACTGTGCATGGTACTTATATGTACTTATATGAATGTTTTTAGGTTATTTACATTATATATCCATTAGGTTTTAGCAGTTGCGTAATTATCTAGAAAGCAGGGTGACTCATGGCTAAGATAATTCTTACATAAAATAACCTCAGAGTTATTTTTGATTTTGAATTAAAATTTGACAAACAAGTCAATTCTGTAGTGAGAGCCAGCTCTCGGCAATTTAAGTAACTTTGCAAGCTGAAAAATTGCTTACTTTGAATTATTTGGAGACATTTTAATCAAGCTACATTACTGTAATGCCCTTCATGCTGGAATTAGCCAGTCCTTCCTTTCACATCTACAACTGGCACAGAACACCGCAGAATTGACCAATGTATAGTCTGGTACTTTATATGAAGTTTTGTACATATATTCAGACAAATCTCATAATTGGTGTTTTTTCATTTAGACACAAACATACTTTATGCAAGTACACAAACTCAGCCACAGCATTTGGCCATTTGCATGCCAACACATTTTGGATAGTAAGAAGTTAATGAGCAAGCTTAAAGGCACAATATGTCATTTTCGCCGCTAGAGGGCGCGTATTCAAAATAAACAAAGAGGCAGGAGCAACTTCACTGTATTGGTACTTCAGCCTCCCACATCCTCCCACAATCTTAGAAAACCACTGGAAACGGAAACATTCTTACATGGTCTAACCTTAAATGTGCACTTAAAGGCACAATATGTAATTTTCGCTGCTAGAGGGCACGTATTCAAAATAAACAAAGAAGCAAAGGCGTAGTTTGATGACGCCGTGACTGAGTGTGGAATCATGGGAGTTGTCGTCTTCATCCCCACAGCCGATACAATCCAACGGGACTTGGGCAGAAATCATGTTCATGGATGAGCTAATGATTTGTTAACATAGTAGAATGAAGCAGAGTGAGGCTGAAAGCCGTTGAAGCGAAACGAGGCCGCTGAACGAGCGCGACACACGGCTCGAAAGCAGCGGAGCTTTTATTATGCCACAGTCGACCGCTTCCGCTCCTTCCGGTCGTGCGTATGTGGGGTAAAGCAGCGCTGTTTTATCATACTAGATACATTTGAAAGTTCTGTTATAATGCTACTCTGTGCGGTCGTCACCGGTCTATTAAAACGCACAACATATTAAAGCGTCTTTGGTGTTTCCATGTTTTCTACAAAACAAAACCGGAAATCGAGGGGTTATGACATCATTGGCAGGCGACACTATAGACACGCCCCGTGTCACTAGTTAAAATTGCTTATTTCTCTGGATTGAAACATTATTCGAAACATTTGTGATAATGTAAGTACACAAGTCAGCAAAATATATAACACTGCTCTATTGGTTTTTGGATATTTAAAAAAAAATCATACATATTGTGCCTTTAAGTATGCATGCTCGTGGCTCTGTGTGCGTACTTGTATTAAAAATGTTTTTGGCCTTATCTTTAGCCTCACTTTTAGATTTTACAACACCAATCACACTGAGTTTTTTTAATCTTATGTTTTATCCTATTATTTCCCTCTGCTTTTTCAGATTCGCATGCAGGCTCAAGGCAGCCTGTTACAGGGAAGCATGATGTCTAATTTCATCAACATTTACCAGACAGAAGGCACGCGAGGCCTGTGGAGGGTGAGTGCTTTCATTGTCTCATCTTTCACATCGGTGGCGAGATTTTAAAATGTGTGGCCATCAGTTGTTTGAACTGTGATGTTTTGATTGTTTTCAGGGTGTAATTCCTACTGCACAGAGGGCAGCCATCGTGGTGGGTGTAGAGCTGCCAGTTTATGACATCACCAAGAAGCATTTGATTCGTTCAGGCCTCATGGGAGACACAGTGTTCACTCATTTCATGTGAGTATCTCTACCAGTACTTGCTGTGTCAATTCAAAATTGAATTTATTTATGAGGCACAAACTTGGACTTTAATGAGGAACGTGATCCATATTGTTTCTTCCGTTTATTTAGTTCCAGTTTCATGTGTGGTCTGGCAGGTGCTTTGGCCTCCAACCCAGTGGATGTGGTGAGGACACGTATGATGAATCAGCGTGTGCTCGCAGGTAACCCTCTGTACAAGGGCACCCTGGACGGACTCATGCAGACCTGGAAAAACGAAGGATTTTTTGCTCTCTACAAAGGCTTCTGGCCCAACTGGCTGCGTCTGGGGCCCTGGAACATAATTGTATCCTTTAGCAATAAAATATATTGTTTTGACTTAATATTCATATTTTGATCCTTGGTTTTGTAGTGTTTGCATAGTCCAACCACTAGAGGTCAGCATATTACAACATCAAGTTGGCTGGCGTTTTCACCCAAGCTTTGAGACGTTTTCTTTACTACACAAGTTAGTTTTCTTTCCCCTTTTAATCGACAGCACATACAGTAATTGCCTCTGATTGTTGGCTGTTTTTATACACACACACACATATATATAGTGGTGTGAAAAAGCGTTGGCCCCCTTACCTGATTTCTTATTTTTTTGCATGTTTGTCACACTTTAATGTTTCAGATCATCAAACAAATTTAAATATTAGTAAAAGATATATATATATAGAGTGGCCCCAAAAAGTGTTTGGACAGTTAGGCCAGCCACAAAGAATGCAGTGTGTAAGTATGTTTGCATTAAAAGAATGGTTCACCCAAAAATGAAAATTTACTCACCAAGATATGTAATGCTAAATTTCTTTGATTTTAGCATTACAACGCTTGCTCACCAATGGATCCTTTGCAGTGAATGAATGTCGTCTGAACAAGAATCTGATAACAACTGAGAGCTGATAAAAACATCACCTTATTTCACAAGTAATCCACACGATTCCAGTCCATCAGTTAACATCTTGTGAAATGAAAAGTAAAAAACAAATTCATTAAGATGTTTTTAACTTCAAACCATTGAAATGTGTCCATAGTCCAGAGTCTTGTCTGAATCAGGAGAGAAATATGCACAGATCAAGTACTGTTTACAAACAAAACCTGTCTAAAATGGTTCTAAACAAATATTTTGGTGGATTTTGATGTAAGTGGAGAACAGAGTTATCGGCTGATAAAAGGTATTTTTCCTTCACCATTGGCCGATGGTTTAAAGGGGTCATATGATGCTATTTTAAAGATCATTATTTTGTGTATTTGGTGTAACAGAATATGTTGACAT